ACAGGAAACCCAGCTGGGCAGGAACCCTGAGGCAGCACGTGGCTGGTTTGCTGAGGAGGGCATGAGTACATCAACGCAAGCTCGCTTCGGGCTCAGGGGCACAGCAGACCCGATGCAGAAGACGTGGCGCCACTTACTGGCTCCTCTCTGGCCCCAGCCCAGTTTCCAACTCTGTCCCCCACTGGCCCCAGCCACAGCAAGCCCACCTTGCTGGGTCAGGCTGCCTTGTTCCTGTCCAGGATGGCACCATCCTCACTGCTGTTCCATGTTCCTGCTGGTTGATGCCCCAAGCGTCTCCTTCCCTAATCATTCAGGATGCCTCTTCCCGAAGCCATGATTACTAGTACAAGCAGAATGATTCTGTCCTCACTTGTAAAGCACACAGTGCTGGAAGCAATCACCTGTTGCTTCCGACATTCATTTGTAGTGATCGTTCTGTGTTTTCCCTGTCACTCTCAGTACTGCAACAGCAGCATGTTTCCTTCATTCTGCCATGATGATTAGTACAATGGCCAGAGAGGGCACTGAATAACTAACCTCATCTGTATACTCACTGCTCAGGAGTACAACAACATTTTGATAAAAGAGCCAAGGAAGGACATGAGAAAACCGTGAGTTCAGTCTGTCAGCTTATTCTCTCTTCCACCGAAAGAGACATGTAGAAAAACTCTCCCTTGAGATAATCGATGCCAGTATAGCCTTGTGTGTCTATACGCTATAGTTTCACAGCAAAATAAACCAGCCTCAGTCAATGGGTATCTGGCCACAGTTATCTGAGTAGAGAAAGGGGCAGCTGAAACCATACGCCCCTAAACCAAAACATTTTCTGAAGGAAAAAACTACTTAGAGGTGGTGTAAAGGCTGCTGTTCAAATGGCTGACTATGGGCAACAGTGGGGTTTTCTTTCTAACCTTAATTCATGCTAAACATTTTCAAATGAGAAACAGATATCTGAGACATTCGAACAGTGGTGCATACCTGAGGCCAAGAGCAAAGGCAAAAATAACAACAACAAAAAAAAAATCATTGATTTGGTTCCTCCAGATATCAAGAAGGTCCCACTTTGCTTCACTCTAAGCCTCAAATATCATAATATTCAGTATTTTCTTTAAGAGACCAAAGCAGGTCAAATAAGCAAACTCTGTTTCTAAATAGGATCAAGAATAAGTGCTACAAGGTTTGTTGTAACATGTGCATGCTTGCACACACACACACACACACACACACACACACACACACACACAGAAGACAGGAATTCCCATAATACTTGAGTTTCTTCAAGATTGGTAGGGAGGTGCAATTTATTTATGGTATCAGAACTCTTCAGAAGGCACACTGTCCATCTTCTGTGGAAATGCACCTAGAAAACCCAAGGAAAGGTTTGTGTCACCCACTGAAACTTACCAACAGAGAGTCTCTAGGACACCGTGCACATCTGTACGTAGGAGTCAACTCTTGTTTGCGTCACATTCTCTTTGGGAGAGATATGGGGCAGGGGTGCACATATTCATTCTATATTAGATTGGCCTCTCAGGTTGACTGGAAAAATAAGCACAGAAGCAGCTACAGCCGCTCCAGAAACCCCTAATCACAGAGAATAGACCAGCACCGAGGTCATGGGGAACATTCATTACGGGACTGTGCCAGCTGAAGGTGCCTGTGTCCTGCCTGGGGACTTCCTGTGTGCTGCCTCCCTGAGGCACCAGAGGGGGGCTGGCATTTGTCCCTAGGGAATCTTTCCAAGAAGACAGTGAGTTCTGGGGATGCACTCATTCTTGGACACCTAGACACGTATTACATATGATGTGTGATGATGATCAAGACAAATCATATAAAGCTATGGAGACTCAGCTTCCCAAGGGATGCCCAGGCAATATGTGAGGAAGAAGAAGAGGAACAGGGAGAGGATGAGGAGAGAAGGAGGGGAAAGGAGTGTGGAAATGACCATGCAATTATGTAGCTCACACTGTCCATATCTTCCATTAAACTCGTGTGTAATCTTATATGACAGAAATTGTGCCCATTTCATAGATACCAAAATCCAAGTCATATAGGAATTCAGTCACTCCATCATGCAAAAGCAACCTGCCTAAGTGCTAAGAAAGTCCTAGGACCAGGATCCTAATCCATCAGACTAGCTTAGAATAAGTTCATATTCACCAAACACTTATGCCTTGGAGGGTTCAAAATTACTTACTTGGATTATCTGTTTCCCCATAGTGTACACAATAGCCATTCTTGTACCCTGGTTACACAGATGCTCTGGAGCACTGATAAAAACATCCTAATGACTGCTAAGAAAGCTGTCATGAAATGGGACCCCATTCCAGCAGTCTAGTTTGAAACAAGTAAATATTCAAAGCATATTTAACCAGGCCTGTGATACAGGCCTGAAAACCCAGCTACTTTGGGAGGCTGGGGCTGAAAGAGTCAAGATTGCAAGTTTAACACCTACCTGAACTACAGAGTTAAAAGGCCTGCATAGGAAGTTTAGTAGCAAGACTGTGCCTCAAAACAAAAGAGAACTGGTATGTAGCTCAGTGGTGTAGTATTTGCCTGGAATGTGTAAGATCATAGGTTGTTTCCAGTACAGAAAAGAAAGAAAGAAAAACCCACATTTTATTGTTTAGAGAATACTAAACAATAATACTTCTCTGTGTTCATGGAAACGGCAGAGAAGAGGGGTCCTTGCTCTTGGTCTTCTGGCATGCTGCCTGCTTGTCTTCAGGAAGAATTCCCCAATCCAAGTCCCAACCCCTCTTTCCCTCTACCACCCTCCTCCCTGTGTCCTCTTCCCTTTGCCAGACCACAAATGTATCAGAATATCCATAAGCAGAGAGTGAGAGACCACAGACTGAACAACTCCAGCCAGCCAGCCAGCCACATTATACAAACACTACCACACAAGCATACTCTAAGGAAGGCAGGACATCTGTGCTAAGGAAGTGCAGAGCCAGTCCTAACCTTTGAGAAGTGTCTTCTCAGCATATAAAGACAGAACTTGAAAAACAGTCAGGATATTGAAATTCAGGGGCTGGAGAGGTGGCTCAGCGGTCAAGATCATGAACAAGCATGAAGCCCTGATTTTGTATTCCCACATAAAAGCCAGACATAACTGTTTACATCTGTAACCCCAGCGCTGCGGTCAGGGGTGGAGGTAAGTAGAGCTCGGGGGCTCACTCACCGGCCAATACAGCCAACATGACAAGCTCAAGGTTCAGACACTGTGTTAAAAAAAAAAGAGTTGGAGAAGCAATTGAGGAAAACATTTAATATCAACCTCCGGCCTTCCACATGTGCCTGTATGGAAAAGTATACCCACTCACACATGGGCAAGCACACGAACAAATAACCAATATGTTTTAAAATTAAAATAAAGTTCAAAATGATAAAACAACCAAAAAAAAATCTTAGAAAACAAACATTGAAGCTCCTGAATTTGGCAAGCACAAATAGCAGGCTTTAAAACTCACCAAGCATAGTTCTTTTTATATTAGGCCTATACATAGTTTTTTCCCTAAAGTAGCATAATAGTAGGGATAGAGACAAATGTATACAGTTTTCGTTTTCTTAAACCATCTCCAAATTTACAGTAATCACATTTTTGCAGTCTTATTTCCACATACAATTTTAATTTAAAAAAGACTTGTTTTATGTGCATGACTGTTTTGTCTGTATGTATGTAGACTATGTACATGCCTGGTGTTCGTGGAAGTCAGAAGAGGACATCAGAATCCCTGAAACTGCAGTTAAAGATGAGTGTGAGCTGCCATGGGTGCTGAGAATTGAACCCAGGTCCTCTGCAAGAGCAGAAAGTGCTCTAAACCTCTGCACCATCTCCCCAGCTTCCCAGAGTTAATGTTTGCTAACCATAATGGCCTCAATATTCTATCAGCACTGGTATGAAGAGGGTAGGAATGGATCCTGAAACGATCAGAGGAACTTCATGAAGAGGCTTGTGTATCTCAGCTTCATGGCACCATCATAAATACTTTAGTACAGCCCAACCTAAAAGAAGGAAATGTTTATTTCAGCTCAGTTTTCAGAGGTTTAAATCCAGGGGCAACTGGTTCCATTTCCTTAGGGGCTGTACCAAAGCAGACGTCATATTGGAAAGCAAACTGTGGAACCAAAGTGCTCACATCATGGCTGCAAGAAACCCTGAGGAGTGGTTATGCGAGCTCGCATCTATAATATAGACACTTAGGATCCTGAGGCAGAAGGACTGTTGTGAGTTTGAGGCCAGCCTGGGCTACATAGCAGGAATTTGTCTCAAAACAATTACAATAAAAGGAGCCAAGAAATGAGAAGAGGGACCAAGGTCCCAACATCTCCTTAAGAAAGGCAGAATACCCCTAGTAAGGCTTCATGTCAGCAAGGCTTACCACCTCACAGAGCCCTGTGGCCTGGAGACCAAGCCTCTAATGTCAAACCTGGGTCTGGGGGAGCACTAACCGAACACAGCAAGAACAGCACGACAACCTTTCTCTCTAGGTAGACAGACAGGAAAAGATTCTTACCCTCAACCCACTTCACTTGGTTCATGAAAAAACAGAAAAAAAGCCACTTCGAGCAGAATTCACATACTTTATTTCCATTTGGTATTTAATAGCAAAACATACAACCATAATCTTTAGAAATCTCATCTAGTTATCTCCATTTTTGTGGATAATTATGGATCTGTCTTCATTTAAAATTATTTCTGAACTCATACATTCAAAAAGGTCTCTAAAGCGAAGAGCACAAACGTATGATTTACTTGGAATCAGCTGGGGCTTCTCAAATCAACAACAAAGACCCACTACAAACCACCGTGCCAGCAGCCAGCACAAGGTCAGACAGAGTTCTCCGTCTTACACACGCCATCTTCCATCCTAGAAGAAAACCTTGGTGAAAATGCACAGCTCTGTCCTTAACTAGAATACATGACATCTCCACCTCCCATCTGCTTCAAAACACCATCAGACAGAATGCCACAAGGATGAGCCAGAGGGACTTACAGTTGAAGATGCCTGGAGGCGGATGCTCAGTCACCAGGGGACAGTTTTCTTCATCACTGTTGTCCCCACAGTCATTCTGTTGGTTACAGACCAGTGAACCAAGATACAAGCATTTACCGCTGGTGCAGGTGAATTTGCACTCTGAAAAAGCACAATATAAAGCATGAGGCAGTCAGTGCTTGCTCCGAGTTTGTCCGTTGTCACCCCACCCCCCGTGTGCGTGCCATGAGGATTTGAGAACCGAGGGCCCCAGGAAACTGAACTCAGAAGGGCTGTCTCGGGGAGGCTGATCCTGCTACGAAAATGCACCGCACTACCTTCGAATGAGTACCACAGTTGCCCTCTTCCTTCCAGCTCTGGCCCTACAAGGGTTACTGTGCTTCCGAGCAGCCTTGACAGTTTCCCATGCCCCACATTCCAGCAACAGGGGCTCATCCAACTTGACCCAAGGTGGATCAAAAATTTCGCTTCCAACTCAAAATGTTTTGCGGCAAAATGTTCAAACCATTTGAGCATGTACTCCTCTCATGCCTACGAAAAAGTTTTAATAGCAGCATATATATTATAAAATGTATATTTTATAAGACAGGAGAAAACACGGTGCTCTGCTCCCTAAGAAGCATGGGTGTGAAGCACAAGAACGAAGCATTATAAAATAGCATGGCATTCACACCCAAATCCCGACCGGTTTACTGAACACAAAAATCCCTCACTGTACAACTCCAGATTTGAAAGTGGAATTCACTGAAATGGGTCCTTAATGTAAAATTTCTAACTTAAACAATTTTAAGAAATTAAGGGTGAGAGATTTTTACAACAAAATAGAATCAGTTGTATAAACACCCATGTGTATCACCTCGGACTCTTAAATACCCACAGAAATTAAGAGGAGCCACGCAGGGCAGGTGTCTAATAGAAGGAGCTCCAGAAAGAATCACAGTGACGGCAGCCGCCACAGCTACCTGAGCTGCCACGGCATTGTCCCTGTCGCCTATCAGAGCAGTAAACCTGGATCAAGGGTCAAGTCATTGCAACTCCAAGTTTCCATTAAAATAAAATTCCAGATATAAGACTGTGCAGAGTCCAGCAATGTCTTCCCAGCTCTTCTAAGCATGAGTAGGGTTGCACTAGTTAAGACTATCTGAGAAGATAGCTGCCATCTGAGAGAAACTATTACCTGTCACAAAGAACAGCAGCTAAGTCAAAGAATGCTAGTGAGCCTCTATGAGAGGGGCATTGGAATTCTTCCATTTGTTCACAGTCTGAGAGGATATAAGGAAAAGCACTCAGACCCCAACTGTGTGTAAAATAACAGGAGAATGGGGTCCAAGTGCATGCCGCACGCTCTGAGCTGGGCCCACCACCTAAGTTAGAAACTGTGCTGAATGGGATCGGGTTGCACAGTACAGATGTAGCTAGAGCTGAACTCTACCATCCCATACGGTGGAGAGATTAAGATCCAGATGTTTGAAATCTCATTTACGAAGTGACAGTTTTTAACTTGATGGGGAAAAAAAAAGGAATGTCAAGGAAAGAATTTATCTTCCTTTCCAAAAGAAATATTGGACTTCAGACGAATGCCAAGCACGAAGAGAACATTAGCCAAAAACAAGAGCTCTCAGAGTTACTGAAATGGTTAGACACTAACTGAAGAGTCTACCACTGCTACAGTTTAAGAGGATTTAAAGCTAGATAACCACCTTCAAGTTCATGTGGAACCTCAAAGAAGCAATAGAATATAACTACGTGAGGTTGATTCGTTCATTCCTATAACCAGTACTCAATGTTTTGTGCCCATTTTGTAGACAGAGACATGGTGACAAGAAGCCAACAATCTAGACAGGGCCAGGCATGTTAGTACACCTATCCTCTAAGCCCTGGGGAGACTGGGGCACAGGGTGGTGAGTCTAAAGCTAGTCTTGGCTACATAATTGGATTCTGTCTCAAAAAAAGTAAATAAAAAGAAAAGAGGAAGGGAAAAACTAGCTTCCATTAAAAAAAAATTACAGCATGGATCCTCCAGAAATGTAAAGAGCGGGGGCTGGAGAGATAGCTCACTAAGATGACTGCTGTGCTTGCTGCAAAGTATGATGACCTGAGTTGGATCCCAGCAACCATGCAAAAAACTAGCAATGGAAACATGTAGCTGAAATACCAGCAAGGGGAAGGCAGAGAGTGGAGCATCCCAAACAGCCTAGCCAGTCAGCACGCTTCAGGTTCAGTGAGTTGTCTATCCCAAAATAATGAATAATGATGATGACAATAATGTGGAAGGCTCAGGGAGGACATCCAAGGCAGCCCTCTGGCCTCCACACACCCACGCACATGTACATGCACACCGGCACACATAAGAGGGAATGACCATGACCGCATGCGCGCGGGCACACCCTCCAAATAAACCAAATAAAAATGTGAACTGGTTCTCTTCTAACTCCAAGGGTGCACATTTTCTTCTTCGCATCCTTTGCTGGCCCAGTCAGTCTGTAACAGGCACTCAGTGAATAACAGATTTGTTCAATAACTGACTGATCTGACCTGAGCCGCATGAGAAGACCTTATGCAGGACATCCTGTTTGTTCGGCTGCTGGCAGAGGAGCCTCAGAGAGCATGCCAGGCCTCCCACCAACACTATCCCAGCCTCCAAAGGTCCACATCCATTCCCTTCTGCCTCTCTACCAAGCTTTCTCCGCCTCAAGATCTGCTTTCTCAAAGTTTGGGACTCGCCTATGATAAGCACATCCATCCATACAAACTGTCAAGACAGCTTGTTTCCTTAAGCAGGCCTTAGCGGTGCCATGGGAGAGCCGGTGCTATGATTTGCCTAGCAAGCTCTTCCTCATTAGAGAACGGTATCAACCCAGTAAGTTTCAAATTCATATAATCCCCAACTTCTCAGCAGCAAGTCTTTAGTCAAACATCAAACTAAGGGTCCATCACACGACCACTCAAGCTGGGTGTGGTGCTACACACCTGTAACACTCAGGGAGGCAGAGGCAGGCAGATCTGGCTGAGTTCCAGGCCAGCCTAGTCTACAAATCGAGTCCAGGACAGCCAAGGCTACACAGAGAAAGCCTGTCACAAAAAATAACAACATAAAAACAAAAAAACAAAAACACAAAAAAAAAAACAAAAAAAAACACAGTCACTTCAATCAAAATGAACTGAATAGACTTAGATAATAAATTCATTAAATAGAATAGATGCATTTATTAGTTCTTCATATGGTGTAGGAAAATACTTTAAAAATATACTATAAAGCAGTTGAGCATTAAACTTCAGTGGAAATGCTGGGGTGAAATTTCAGAGCAGAGAAAAGCCTCTGTTGAGGCTGGCAAGCCTGTTGTTGATAGAGGCCGGCACCCAACATGATCCAAAGGTCTCCTGTGGAGGCCGTCCCCAATATACTTTCCTACCCCAAACCTCACATAGTCTGATCCTCTAACATGTAGGGTACTGTGATAGTCCAAATGCATTAAAAACCCTAACAGAAGACTCTCACCTCAACTGCACACTGGAATGACCTAAGCATCTTTCAAAACTAATGATACCTGGGTACTAGCCCAGGCCACTGCTCTTATTGGCTTAAAGTGTAGCCTAAACAGCAGGTGTTTCTAGAGTTTCTTTAAGCAGTTCTGATGAAGATCTAAGACTACCCCAAGAAGTAGACAACTCATTTACATGGCACCCTCTCTTTGGCTAAGATGGCTTACTAAGATATTTAGTGGTGTTTTGCTAATTTATTAAACAATTTTTAAATTTAAGTATACAAGTACTTAGGTCATTCTTGGATACACTGTATCCAAGCTTTTCTGTCAGTGGGGTATTTCAGGAACTTAGTAACCATAGCACTTGGGATCCATACTGCTGAAGTACAGAAAACAATGCATTTTGATTCCCAGACTACACTCTCACACACCAGAAGTAGGAATTACTTTCAAAGGAGTAAAATTCAAATCACAGAAAGATGATACACAAAATATTTTCATTTCTCATTTTGCCTATTCTTTCTGGGCCTTGTTGAGTATTCCTACCAATTTAGAGTTTAGAGGAACAAATGATTATTAAATTAGAAACATTTGGATAACAAAGTCACAGCGATTTCATATGTAGCATGCAAATGAAGAACTCAGCAACCAGTGTTAAAATCATTTATGACATTTAAATAACACCTCTATTTTAAAAGAAGAAGAACTTTTCAAGTGAAGAAAACAGCATTTCTTTATGCCATAATTCTCTTTGATTTCTTTTTTTTTTAAAAAATTGCTATGATGGGAGCTTGCAAGATGGCTCAGTGGACAAAGGAACCTGAGGCCAAGCCGATGACCTGAGTTCAAATCCTAGAACCCATATGGTGGAGAGAGAGAGAGAGAAACGGCCAACTCCTGCAGTTGTTCTGACTTTCACACCCCGCCATTGCTTTCATGCACACACACTAACAACATAAAACAATAATAATAATAATAATAATTTAAATGACTATAATTGATGCAGTAATAGAATTTTTTCCAAATTTGGGTTCCTTTCTACATCTCTATAAAAAAAAAAAAAAAAACAAAAAAAACTGATGAATTCTTTTCAGAGTCTTAGAATCTCTTAGAAATTCATAGTTTAACACTGACAGGAACTTGGAGACACACTGGGCTATCCAAAGTTGAAGAACAAATTTCAATTAAATTGAGAAAATAAAAGCTTTTTTCTTGTTGTTATCCTGAATGTCATTTTATTTTTTAAATTCTTTATTGATTACACTTTATTCACTTTGTAGTGAATGTCATTTTAATTATGCATAAACTAGTATTAACCATTCAGGACGTATCATGTAGGAGAAAAGAAAGGAAAAGAGCAATTAAGAAAAGTTTTTCTAATATTTTATCAACTTTGAGAAAACAAGGGGTTTAGATCCCGACATTAGAACAGAAACAGAATATCTTAGTGTTTATGTGAACTCCAAAATACCGCAAAAATAGCTATATTTTAACAATAGGACCCTAGGCCCCAGGAATCTACGAATCTGAGCATTCTAAACCCAAATGCAGACTGGTGGAACAAAACTGCTTTTCGAGACTAAATTTAATCCATTTGGTAGAGTCAACATTCTAGTAGTTAAAAGGCAACAAAAAGTTGTTCTTGCTTTTTCTTAC